TTGCCGTTGCAGTTCACATGAGTCACGACGCCTTCGCCCACACCACGCCCAGCCGAAGATTTACTGTGCGACCAGCCGCAAACGGAAGCCACTCGAAAGAAAGGCCAAGGCATGGGGCACAGCGGCAGCCCAAGAATGCCACTCGAGGAGCCAGCGACGCCACCAAGTATTCATCTCTGTATTCATATTCGCATTCAAATCACAACTGTGTGCGAGTGTGTGTGAGTATGTGCGTATGTGTGTGGAATGGGATCGAGGAACGAAGACACCCAACAAAGAAAATTAGCAGCTGCCACAAGTCTCATAATTGAATATGCTGCAAGTTGGCAGAGAGTATGAAGAGTGTCTGCCATGCCACGCCCCGTTAAGGAGCTGCAGCAATATGCCGCAGTTCATTTGCAACAAATGTTGCCTGTCTCTTGCCAGATCGGGAAATCTGGGAGTCGCTTGTGACGAATTTAAACTTGATTTATGCATTTGCGCCACAATTCCACGCACTTTATGGCCAAATCAGAAACAATTCATTGCAACATAAACATTTCCATCTGCAACATGTTTGCCATTAGGGTGGCTCCAAACGGGAAGCCCATTCAGGCTGTGGAACCTAGACGACATTTCCAATTGTTGTAAATAGTGAGGCACCCGGACGATCGTCGAAGTGCTGTTGAAGTTCTTGGTGTTGCAACAGTTTATTGTCAACGACAATGCCCTCGGTCCATTGAAAGATGTCAATCAAAACAACTGGAGCATGGGCAGGCATTCCACGACATAACATATGTATGTTCATATATGGAAGAGTATATAGTGGAGAGCATATTGAAATATGTCAGCTTGTAGGAACTTGAGCAGCAAAAGTGCTGCCACAATTGATGGATGCGAAAAGGAAACGAAAAAGAAATCAATCTGTCGCTGGCGACCGGTTTTGACTCTTGTTTGTTGTTATCCAACTTGAGATGCAGAGACATCAGCCACAACAACAACTAAAATGATCGCGAGGAGACCCCCAAAGCGTGCTATTGTCGCTGGAACACCAATAGCTTACAGCTCGCCCGGTTCCCCATTCACAATCTTCCCCCCTCGGCTCACACAGCTGCCAAATGCATTCAATCACTTTATTTGTTACGTCTTGGACCCGGCATCATCTTCGTCGTCGGCTTCTTGCCTAACTCAGAAATATATTTTATTTACTCTGCACTTATGACCCCCATGCCGGCGCGGGCTGTCGCCGATCGGGTTAAGTGAATCCGATAAGGACTCTGCTCCGCGTGCATTTGTTGCCGTTGCCGTTGCATTTGCATCTCGAAAGCGAGGCTGTTGTCTGTTGTCTGTTTGCCGGCGGCTACTCAGAATGTCAAGCAATGAATACTCTCTCTCCCTCTCTCTCTGTCTTTCCCCTTCCCCCTTTTGACCATAGCCCCCGCACCGCAGCCAAGCTGCAGCTGCGCAATGCTTTAGCTGTGTGCACTGATGGATTGTGTCCCTGGCCCCATATGTGTATCTACTTAGGCAGTAGCAAAATCATCTGATGTGCGCACAGGCACAGTGGTTCACTAGCTATTTGAATCATCGAAAAAAACTTCTAAGAAAATTAGTTTGAAACCGACCGGACGAAAAACAAAATATATATGTAGCCATCGCTATTTCCAGGACTAAACTTAAACTCGCTCAGTTGGATGGATTTAACAAAAAAGTGTGAAATAAGTCTTAAATAAATTTTTCATAAAGATTCTGGGAAATTAATTTGAGCCCCGAACTATGCCCATCTTTTACACCCATTTTCCACCACGTAGGGCTGAATTTGGCGAAAGCGTGAAACATCTCAAAACTGAGTTTTCACAAATATCTTAAAAAATAAATTTGGGGCAGATTGGTAAATAAACATAAACAAATATTATGCAACCTTTTCTTCACCAATCACTCAGTGGAATTGTTGTACAACTTTTACAACTGAGATGAATTACTACTCTAACACATTTAACTATATGATATTATTCCCATCCTTTTAGGGTTTCGAAACACAATTGATATTGACCCACTGTGCGCGGCGAAGTCGTTGGAGTTGACACCGATTCAATGACAACAAATGTGTATAGTATGTTAGTTGCAGATGCAGATACACACAGCTGCACACGTATCTATGCTTGTGTGTGTGTGTGTGTGTGTGTGTGTGTGTGTGCGAGTGTATCTTCTTTTGCGCTGTGCGCTGCCTTGTCGCCGATCTTTAATTGCAGAATTGTGTTGCCGACCCATAGATGAGGATGAATGTGCATTGTGACTCGGCGGAGCGACCATCTACCCATCTACCCATACGCCTCCGTGTCCGTTGCGATCTTGGTGATTAATTGACGCTGGTGTCGCGTGAGTTGCGCGGGTTTATTAAAAGGATTACAAGACGTGAATGTGCGACATCCGATGGACCAGCAATTCCATAAACGCCAGCTAGACTCTGGCGTCGGGGAGGGTATATGTGGGCAACTGCAGTCGTAATAAGATTAATTACGAACGCCTCTCCCAAGACCCAAGACACACACACACACATACACACACACAGACACGCTGCGGAACAATGTTGTGACATGACAATTACAAACTGAAGTCTTCCATTGTGTTTTCAAGTGTCTCATTAATTTAAAAGCTTTAAGATCTTTCCATAAACTTCAAATACTTTGCGAGCTATCCCCAGAGACCTTTGCTGTAATCCTTGCTTGACATTTGCATATTTAGTTTTTGTATCCTGTTGACACGCGAGCCCACGGGAGAAGGACCAGGGCCCGAGTAGCAGGATAAGTGTCATCAGGGGCGCAAATAATTGACATTTAACAGAGGGTCGGGCTCGGCAGCGTTCCGCCAATTAGTAAAAAGTGTCATTAAGAGTCGCTTAACCATATTTAAATGTTCCATACTTACGTGTGTGCTCGTGAGTGTGTGTGTCTCTTCCATAGCTATTCCCGATATTATGAGGCATGTATGATGCATGGGACTGTTAAGCGTCTTGTTGCACAGCGTTTCCGTCCGATTTGATATTCCTTGTCAACGCGAAAGTGGGATCCGCAAATGTTTCGTATAAATATGCGATTTGTTTTACTTGCGATGGATGAATTTTTGCCAATGATGATGTCATCCCCAAGGCAACCAAGCAAATGCGCACTGCTACACAAAAGCATCCCATAAATCACGGCCCGATCGCGGAGTTTATGCTCATGCTCATGTCTGACAGCTGGAGACCCGGCTGCGGCTGCGACGGCGGCTGCACGCCAAGCGGCAGACAGCGAAGTGGAGCAGCTGCCAGAGATTAGTCAGTCTTAGTGACTGCCGGCACTGGCGCACTTCAATTCTCTCGGGGCAAGCTGCTCAACTGGTTTGCGCGCCTGCAAAGGGGAGCAGCAGTTGCGGGGAGCTGCTCCGTGGAACGTACACAAAGATCAAGGTGAATATATAACTAATATATTGTTTAAAACCGTATAATGCCAATCAAATTGAATCACATAACTATCGAAAACTTTCGCAAGTGTGCACATTCGTTGGAAACGGTTTCTTACCATTAAACGCATTTCCAAGGATCTGTGGCGATTTGGCAACACAGAAATTGATAAATTTAAAGTTTTTTGTCTTTGGTAAGTTTGGTTACACTAATTGGGAATTTCACAATACTACAAAATGTATGTACCGCTTCTTTAAGCTGGATTTCTAAAGCCTTCGGCATCTGCGCAAATTAATATTTATATATTTGGTGTACAATAAATAAAGTAACTACTACTAAAATCGAAATATTTTACTTGTGTTAGTGTAACTATATAAATAAATGAAATACTATATAAAAAAGATTCATCAACAAGCCCTTGAGCAAATGAGCATCATCTTACGCAATGCAAGTTTAACGGTTCCCAGCTTAGAGGTCAGTCACAGAACAAAACTTTATTCCATCAAAAAAGAAAAGAGCACGACGCCACAATGAAACCGCAAAATTTATGAAACACTAAAAACGAAGAGGTCTTAACCCTCATGCTTTCTCAGACTCATTCGCATTCTCACATGGTTAGCGCTTCGCTCCGCTCAGCTCAGCTCCGCTCAGCTCAGCTCAGCTAAACGAACCGCAGCCGCGATTGTTCGTGTTTAAGACAGAAGATCTTGATTTTCAGCAGTTGCTGGCGTTGCAATTTCCATGTTGAGCTCAGCCCAGAATTGGCAAAGGTTAAGAAAGCGAAGTGCAGCAAAACAGCAGCTAGCACCAACAAGAAACGCACAACAATAAAAAATAATAAAAATGAGAAACTTTCGAACTGGTAACAGGAAACGCAGCGTTAGCAATGGTCGTAACAGTAGCTCCAGCCTACCAATTCTCGGCAATTCGACGGAATTTCCTGTAAGTGTGCATGAAGAATAGTTGCTTATGTGTGAACCGAAACAGATTTTCCCTAGCTTTAAGTTTTGCCTAAAACCTGTTCTCTATAGATAGACTGCGATCGCTAGCTGCTCATTACAAACTGATAATGTTTACTTAGTAACACGTTAGCAGCTAATTTGCTCAAATGTAAAGCATCTAAACCATGTGCACTCACCCATTCCATGTGCAAGTTTATTGTATCTTGCTGGCCAGAGCTTTATGATTGCTATGCGTGTGCTGTCCACATATACATATAGACATACTACATAGGTAGATACATGCCGCATGACTCACGGTCACGCTTAAGAAAGGTAAAAAGGCATAAGAGAAAAGACCCAAGTGACTAAGTGCACATTCATGGCTTTTAAAATGGGCACCCGAAGAACCCAAAAACTGTTGGCTTAACTGTGAGCGTGACTGGATTCCAAATATTGTCTCTTATTGTTGTTGTTGTTATTGTTGACTGTTATGTGATCGCTGGCTCTTTGGCATCAATAATTCGCGCGCCCAAGCGCTGAAAAGCTTTTTGTGACATCTTGTAATTCATACTTTAGCATATCTGCGCGATTGGCTCGCTTTCTTCTCGGCTCAGCTGCCTCTTTAAGCGAACATATGCTTTAGGTATCACTTCTCAGTTGGCATTTATTCGTTTACATTCGTTTGTAAGCTACACAATTGCCGGTTTTCCTTCGGTACATTAATAACTAAAAACACGAAAGAGCTTATAACCATGTTCAGTGATTGGCTCTTTACTTCTTTTCCGTGGTCCAGTTTTTGGGACGTTCGGCCATAATAGTGTAATCGTTCTTGGCAATATTCACGCCACCATACTGACGCATGGGAGGGTCGGGCAAGAATTCCCAGCCCTGTTCAATGGACATCTTTTTGATGACACCGGCAATGCCTAGCAGTAAAATAAAACGTTTAGCCACAATTGTTATATCGAGCCTAGATCGACTTACCCAGGAATAGACCAGCACACAGGCCTGCTACATGATTGTGCTTCCATGCGCCAAAGACGCCGCCAGCAGCAAAGCCTCCAATCAGGTAGTTAATTCTGCAAGTGATGGCATTTGTATAAATAAGAATTGGAAAGCTCAAACCAGTTAACACTCACTTATCATCCTTGCCGCGGGCGTTTGTGGCAGCGAGCGTAGTTAGCGTAAATGCTGTAGCCATGCCCATAAGCGGGCCCGTGTTGTAGGCAAACCTTCCGAGAGTGGGTATGTAGCCCTGTGGCTTGGTGAGGGTTAACACGTCGAATGCGGACCACGCCATACCGGCGACGAAGGCATATTTGTTTGTGGCCACAATCTTTCCAAAGGCATCTTCGCCATCAGGATGGTCGTAGTATTTGGAGCGTAAGATCGACATATTTGCCTAGATACCATAAAAAACATATGTATGCAAGTAAATAATAATCACAGAAATATTCAAACTAATCTGTCTACCGCTCATTGGCCAAGTGTTTTTACAGTGCGCTTTGGGCATTGCAGAATATTGTTAACATTTCCCTGGTCCATTATCATTTGATGAGACAATTAATTCAACGATAAATGCTTTAAACTATCCATTAATTTACTAACCTGCCGAATTTACGTAATTATTCCCAAACGCAAAATAGTTTGACAAAACAGCTGTTGACCAGTGTGTACCAACCAGAGAAAAATACAACCATTAAAATACTTAAAAAATACTAACAACATGCCATTTTGAGTTTAACATGCTGTAAAGTAAAAAGTAGCGCCTTTTCCTAACATTTTTCAAATTAATAAACTGTAATGTCTATTTTGAAAATACTGTTAGCAATCTATTTTTTAGTCAAGTTAAAAAGAAAAGAAATCCAAGTTTTCTTAAATCATGATTAAAATGTTTTTTTTTTACACGTATTCTTTTTATTCTAAATTCACAAACACTGTGGCACTAACATTAATTAATGTTTGATCATGAGGTGCAATCGAACATTATTGTATGGGTTCTATGGAGGATGTAATTTATTTGAAAAATTATCGTTTAAAATTAAAAATGATTCTTTTGATTTCAAATGTGAATACGTTTAGTTCTTAAATGATGGTAGACTAGTTTTTTGCCTTTCAACTAACAATATACACGTAAAATCTTGCACTTTTAATAAGGAGGCATGGATATCCATTTAATGAATTTTTTTGGCATACATTTAGAAGTTCAGTTGACCGAACAGGTGCAGATACAAAGCAAAAACTATATGATTTCGAGAACAAAATCGATAAAACACACAATACATATATATATATAGAAATACATACATATATGGGCATAATTATATACATATCAAATGACAAATTACGAACAGGATCTATGTTTGTTTAATCAGTCATAACATTCGTGATGAATCTGGTAAAGTTCACTCATATCTTCCAATCATGTGATGCCTGTTTTCAAATAAACTTGAAAGTAGCAAGTTAGGCAAAGCGATGCGATAGGGTTCGATGTTTGCATTATGATTGCGACAAACATACATATGAATATATAGTTTGCATTATATAAAAGTAGTAGACATTTTAGTGTTCGTCGTGTCCAATTATTTCAATATCATCAGCCAAGGGACTCTCAATTTCCTGTTGGTTTTCGCTACCATTTTGTTGATTTGCATCCAAATTAATTAATGATAACGTCATCTTGCTGCTGAGTATGACCTGCGATAAGAAAGAAAATTCGTTGTACTCTTTGTGATTTAAGAAGTTTGTTTTATTTACTGCCGGTTCCTCAGATGATCCATTCAGCTCAGAATCGTAGACCTCTTCACGTTTCGTCTGTGAATCGGCCACCAAAATCTGCGAGTCGTGTGCCAATGCGCCCTCCAAGTAAATGGACTGCGGCTCGGGTAGATTTTCTTCCAATTTGGACTGAAATGAAAGCACACCAATTGTCAGTCATATGGCAGACACTATTTTCATAAGCACTAGATATTTTTCAAAGTGTTTCGCTTTTTGGAAATTTCTTTGACTATGGCAGGATTCGCTTGATCGTAATAAGGTGCAGCAGAGGCACTTACATGTTCACTATTTGCGCGGAAGACAGGCGTTGGAGGGCGTCCAGTCCATCTTTGACCGCCCTCGCAACTGGCTGTTACCTCCATGCCAAGAACCTGCACCCCATCAATGTATGTATACAATTTTATACACATATCATGCCAGTATATACAAAAACAATATAATAGTATAACTGTACAAATCAGAGTTGCAATTAATATTTAATTTTACCGTCATTTCACGCTCTGCGCTGATGTCGCGTCGCTTCCTTTGCTGCTGCTGTTGTTGTGTTGTGTTAGTCGCATCCTTTATACCCTGTGTTTTATTCTGCTCCTGATCGTTAGTTGTATGCCCATTGGAAATGTTCTGGTTTTCTACAGTTGTCAAATTCGTTTTTTCGTTGTCGTCGTGATGCTGTTTGAAAATTATTTTCGGATCATTAATTTTGGCATAACATTGAAATATTTAAAGTTAACAAAAGAACTGAGCATTTTTAAAGTTGGTTGGCTCAACAAAAGTAAAAAAAAAAAGAAAGACAAAAATAATTGAAATTAATTTGTAATGTACTAAATTAATTAGAATAATTAAACAATATTTACTTTTAATATTTACTTAATTGTTGTTAAGAAACGCAACGAAAAAAGTGCATTAATTGGGGTTTCTCAGTTACTTGGCTGGTTAATAAACAAAACAAAAATGTTAACAAACTTTCAACGATTGCTGCGGCGGGCCCGTCGTCGACGCTAACCTTATTCAAATCAGATTCAGATTCAGTTTCAGTTTCGCTCCTCGCCCCGTGCACGTCTCGACCGTTCAATTGCTCGTCGGCAGCGTCTATAAGACCTTGTATAGCCGTTACAACTACTCGATTTCATTTATATATGTATAGATTTTTTCGACAATATACAAGATGGGAGAGACATATATATATATATATATATATATATTTGTACATGTGTTACATGGAAACGAAGAAACGACAGAATGTAAGTAGATTTAATAAACATTTTGCATTGGCAATAGGCAATTGGCTTTGCTTTTGACTAAGGCTCAACTTTTCGATGTAAGTTCGTATGAATTGTGAATTGGCATGAGTTTTGGCAAAAGGTAAACTATGAATCGAAAAGTTTCTAAGCACATACATAAATATCATATGTATGTATGTATGATTAATTTCCAGTCTCTTTGTTTTGGTTTCTAAAATATGTCCCCCATCATAAGTATTGATATAGTAATAGAGAGCTACAGACACAATTACGTATAAACATACATACTTAGTAGTATTTAGTATTTGTGGATAGTTAGTTAGTATGGCTACAGTTTCGCATGCCGATCGCAGACGAGCACAGTTAGAAAGAAAGACGGCAAATAGTTTAGTAAGAGTGCAACAAAGAATGACAGAGAGAAAGGGGAAGAGAGTTCAGTCCATATCGAGGCCCACACATGCAACAGGCTGAAGCGTGAGCATAACAAGGAGAGAAACAGAGAGAAAGGTCATAGATAAATGGGATACTGAGCGGGCCACAGAAGCGATATTATAAAGCCGCGCTCCAGCATGCAAATCAGGAGCTGACGGACTTGTACAACACTGGTTTAAGAATCTGTGGCTTTACACAAACAGAATGTCAAACTTTTCGAGGACTAGGGTATAGTACATGTACGGGTATAGATAAAACTCGGTAATATCTAGAAATCAAAAGTAGAAACGAACTTATGACTTGTACTTAGTTTGGTCTATATCTGTGATTTCGTATTATATATGCGGTAAATAAATGTTGGTTGCATTAGAAATTTGGCTGCCGCTTGAGAAACTTCATAGCAATCATCTTGAAAATGAGAATACAAAAATATAGCATATTAATAAATGAGATCAAACGCCGATGAAAACTGCGCGCGTCAACCAAAAATGTATACATACAGATGTACGAGTGTACATTAAATTTGTGCGAAAATCTAAATGGTTTCATATGGTTTAAATGGATATGTGTGTCATGGACAATGGCGCTACCATTTCCACGAGATGACGTGGAGGACAGCAGCGCACACTTGTGCATGAATGCGGCTAGCTACGTTTGGATGGATGCTAACCTTTGCCTCATACTGATCGGTGTTCATTTCGGCAATTAATTTTGCCATCTCTCGCTCCGTGTCCTCGAGTTTCTTGCGCAACTTTTCAATTTCCATCAACTGCTCCGTTTCCTTATTGAACAGCGACTTCTCCACCTCGGCCAGCGTCTTAGGGGCTAGTGCCTGGGCGTGGCACTGTTGCTGGTGCGCCTTCAGCGTGCTGGACAAATTGGTGGCCATTTCCGTGGCCGACAAGGTGGCTTTGTAGAGCTCCTTGTCGTTGCGCCTGCCGTTCGCTGCGCTCGTCGCAGTTCCTAAAAAGTGTTCGTAGGATTTGCTTTAACTAACAATTATGTTGAGGCAAGGACAACGAAACAGCTAGCATAGTCATTTATATACAGCAACAAAATATAATTGTAATAGTTAACGATAATAAGGTAAGAGAACGGGAACGGTGTGAAATCGTATTTTATCACTACGATATGTATGACAAAAATTCTCTAACTACTCCAATGTGGTTTTGGTTTGGCTTGGTTATGGCTTGTGAATTAGTAGACACTTAAATACATACATACAAACAAACAAGTACAACATTTATATAAAAAATCTAAAAATTAAACAGAACACATCAAAGGCTTGAGCCCTCGATGCTCTTGGTTAACTACACCAAATGAGGAGGACATATTTTAAAACTGAACCAGAGCGATCAGAGATCTCGCATCTTCTCACACAACATCGACTATTCAATGCGTACAAAGACTCAAACTCAAGAATTTAAAAAAATAACAAAATCTTTTCTAGCTTACTTGTCTGATGCTCGCGCCAACCTTTTCGCAAATGGCAATGCAGAAAATTCAAAAAACAGATGAACGATTTGGTTAGTAATTGATTATGAGTTAAGTACTTGTGCTAGTGTCTGTGTATCTGTGTGTGTGTGTGTGTGTGTGTGTGTGTTTGTGTTTATTGTATATAAGGATGCAGTATGTGCAACTACAAAAAGTCGTTATCGTAAAGCTAGAAGTCTCTATCATCATCTATATATATTTCAGCATGGAGCTCAACTCACCCAATTTGGTGCCGCCTAAATCCTCCACCTGGCTGTGATTCTGTTGGCCAAAAACTTCTTGGCGGAAGCTTGGATCCGCTGGAACAGGTCCATACGGTGCATTTGGTACTTGCTTCTTAAATACAATCTATAACATGTGAGTATGTATATAAGTAAATAATGGTTCAAGGAATAAGTAAATCCAAGTTTCTTCCACCTTCATAATAGTATAGCCGAAGAACACCACGATGCCAATGGTATAGAGCGGCATCAGGAAGCCCATGCTGCTGCCGGCTCGCTGCTGAGGCTGATGAAAGGCACCCGCTCCCATTGGCGGTCGCATGCCAGGTATGGGTCCAGGCTTAAAATAAAAATCAAAATTTAAGTTCTAAATGTGAATAATATCAGCCCCTCTATATATAGAATGAGGCAACTTAATAACGAGGATATGTCGTCTAATCCTACCTATAACAATATCCTCCACTGTTAATCTTAAGAAATCTATGTAGCATAATTGACTGTCAATTGGACAGGAAT